GAGCCTAGTGGTCGACCCACCAGTCGGAAGCATCTGCCTTCATCTGGAAGGCGGCGAGGGCTACTCGTTGTCCATCGGGAAGAGGGAGCACAACACGAAGATCTTATCAAGCTCCTTCATCCACTCAAGTACAGCAGTGGGGGCCTCGCTCCCCGAAAAAGTGGGCGCATGCATGCCCTGAAATTGGACAATGAGTCTGGGAAAATCCATGGCCGGAGGGGCCTGCTGGCGAGGTGGGGTTTGTTGACGATTGCGAGCATTGCGATTACGAGTGGCCATGGTTCTACATTGAACAAGCCAGAAAAGTTTAACACCCAAAACAAAATTTAAAAATAAATAAGGAAGTCTAGAGTTTGCCACGGAACACTAGAGTTCAAAAATCATTCAATGGTGGATATACTCCACTCCCGGTTCTCATTGACCGGGTTCTACATGCGTCTAATAGTTCTATCCACAATAGTCACAGACTTCAGAATAATCCACAAACCTGGGACTCCTTCGGTTGTCTGTTCCCTTTACTTAAGCCTTCTCTTTCGAGATGGCTTACGAATGATTCTCATTCGAGGGTACTAAACAGAAACTCATAACGAGTGCACTGCTATAGACCAAACTTAACTTGATAATCACCAACCCGAAAACTCACAACAAACATCTCTAAAGTCGGCACTTAACCCTATACCACTAGAGTTCAAGTCCGTATAAACGGAGGGTAAATTCCTAAGCCCCAATAAAGAACAAACCATAATCACGATATCGATATTAATCGAAACAATAAAACTCATACCTTGAGCTGGCGCGGCGTGACGAAGCGAGTGGTCGAATGGTCATTAAACACTTAATCACATATGAACCAGTCTACAGAAAAGCAAGACTGGCTCTGATACCAAACTGTAACGCCCCGTTTTATTTTAAAGAATTTACCGCATTGATTTAAAAAAATCAGAGTTATTTTATTTTTTTTTAATCCAAGTTAAAACGTTTATCGAGTATCGGGCGCTACTTATTAACCACAACAATTAAACACAACCAACAATCTAAGAACCTACACATGCTCGAGTTATCAAAATAACAATCCCACAGAAACATACGTCTCAAATTCATTTCCAAAGGTCTAGCATGATCACGGTTCAACATACTTAAACTTAGTTCGAAAAGTGGAAGCAATAAATAATTCAAAGCATAATAGCAAAATAAATAAGTATTAAGTTCAAGCGGAAGCATAGGTTTCAACACATAATGACCACCATCTCGCTCGTCCTACGCCACCGCCTCCAGCTCGTCTCAACCTAGAACAAAAGAAGAGAAAAGACAGCAAAGAAAATAATGAGGGTGAGCATAACCAACAAGCTCACCATTATCGCACAGTATATCTCGCATAACATTTTAAACCATCATAACCATAGTATTCAATATGCATAGAATCCAACAGTCTAACTCCCTACTTGGCCCTATCGCAAACCTCCTATGTACATACAACAACCTTCCGATCACACACGGCAAGGAAGTAACTGGAAACCTTCCCATCACCGAATTGCTACGGGCCTGGGATCCTTTCCAGGAGACAGTAGAGATGTTTTTCCCATTCACGAATATCATACGGACCTGGGCGTCACCTCTCCGTGAAAAAAAAAAAAATGTCTTTGCGGACGACATTCTTTCGCCGGAATTTGTCGAAACTATTTTCGGGAAGTAAAACGAGAGAGAGACTGTAGTAAGAATTTGTGATTATTTTTTTTTTTTAAAGAAAATGGTATAAATTTCTTTTGGGGGCGGTAAGTAGTAATAGGGGGCGGTGTATAGTAACACTCATTCCTAAAGGAAGGAAAGAAGTTTAAGAAGCTATCCTACGTGGGTAAGCCACTCCAAAAACATCGTGCTCAAGCCAAAGAAATTGCTTGATACATTGAGGGCCAACCCTAGAACAAGCGGTCGCGGCCAGCTCCCGCCTTAGGAGGCAAGATTGCTGAGATGCGGAGGAGATCCGATGGCAGGAGTAGAGAGGAGAAACTCTGCCAGTCCCATTGTCCCAAATCGTTGACATATTTGGACACATACCATGTCAACTGATCCTCTGGTATAACACCCTGAACACAGTTAATTAAGGCTTCAAAAAAATTTAGCCAATTGTCCCACCAAAAGAGAATTCGAGTCCCATCACCTATTGACCACCTGTACCCTTGACCACATACGACCATACCCTGGAAATTGCATGCATCACCACAGAGCCCGACAAGAAATAAAATTCAGCCGACATCGCATGTGGTTGGAGTTTATACTTGACACATAAGACCCGCACCCACAAAGCCTCAGATTAGGAGCTCCAATTTAACCCCAGCCCGCCCTCCTCTTTAGGCTTACATTAGGAGCTCCAATTTACAAGGTGGACATTTCTTTCAGTGTTGGAACTACCCCAGATAAATCTACGACAACACTTCTCCAACCCTTCGCAGACTGCTGACGGAATCCACGTTGTTTGCATGGAATAATAAGGTAAACTTCTCACCACCACCTGGGTTAATGTAACTCTTCCAGCCAGTGAAAGTGACGAATATTTCCAACCGTTCAGCCGATGTTCTGCCTTCTCCAGAATGCCCGCGTATGTGCGCTGGTGACCGCCCATGAATAACCGGCATGCCGAGGTATTTACCCAGGTTCTCAACCCTCAAAAACTCGATTCTTTGAGCAAGTTGATTTTTGACCTGCTCTTTTACATTCGGCGAGAAGAATATGCTCGTTTTTTACCCGCTGACCTTCAATCCCTAGGCATGAAAAACGACAGATAACACCTCATTAAGCACTTCAACTTGATCGGATGAGGCTTCCATTAACAACAATAAATCGTCCGCGAACATAAGATATGGAACAGACACTTCCCCACGACCTACAAAATCGGGCGCCACACACTTTGCTCAATTCTTTGTTGAATCAGGTGAGCCAGTCTCTCCATCGCCAAGACAAAGAGGTACGGCGATATAGGGTCGCCTTGGCGAACACCACGGAAAGGTGTGAATTACTCCGAGACGGTACCATAAATTGAAGTTGCATGGAAGCTGAAACATTTTTGGGAATCCCGCGAGCCGAAGTGTATCCTCGATAAAGTCCCAACGGAGATAATCGTAGGCCTTCTCCAAATCTACCTTCATCAAGAATTATCCCGTCCCATTTAGTTCTCATAGAATGCACTAACTCTTGGGCCATAACAATATTGTCCGAGATTTGCCAGCCTGACACAAAGCTTACTTGAGCAGGCCCAACAATACTCGGCAACAAAGGTTTCGTTCTGTTAGCCAGGATTTTTATCGCCACTTTGTACACCACATTAAGAAGGCTAATCGGTCTAAACTGTTTGACTGTTTGGGGATTATCCACTTTACGGATCAACACAATTAGGGTTCTATTCACTTGTAGAGGCATGATTCCATCATGTAAGATCCCATGAACCAGGTGGCTAATAGAGGCCCCCACACTATCCCATTTCTGTTGAAAGAAAATCGCGTGAAGTCCATCTACCCCCAGGACTTCAATGGATGCATGGAACGAAGAGCAAAAGAGATTTCGAAGTCCGAGATTTCTCTCGCCAAGGGTGCTACCCAACCAGGCTCAACAGGAGGAAAGCGGTTCAAGATGTGAGCAGGCTAAGAAGTCCGTGGCACCACCCAGTATATACTACGAAAAACATTAATGGCCAGTCTCCGTAGTTTACTTTGGTCCTGACACCAATTCCCATCATTGTCAAGAAGCCCCACAGTTTTATTTTTACGTCGTTGAGCTTTTATCTTCCGGTGATAAAACTTAGTGTTCCTTTCGCCAAACAGAGACCAGTTTCTTTGAGATTTTTGAATCAAGAGAACTTTTTCTTGAATTGAAACCTCTTCGAGCGCAACACTCAGTTCACGTTCAAGGGATAACAAACATTCATTGGCCCGACTTTGCAAAGCCCGTTGAACACCCAAGATCCTTGCTAACAGTCTCTTTTTTCGTTTAAACACGTTTCCAAAAACATTATAATTCCATTCCTTTGTCAGGGACGCAAAATGGTTAGCCGCCTTCACAAAATTATTTGTCCCCGACCAGGCCACCTTAGCAAGCCTATCAAAATCCTCATGCATTAACCAGGATGCTAAGAACCAGAAAGGTTTCGGTCTGTTCAAGTGAGGGGCACCCGTGCCACAATGAATCATCAACGGCGTGTGGTCAAATTTTAGTCTAGGTAGGTAAGAAACTATACTGCTCACAAATTTGTCCAACCAGGCTTCATTTGCAATGGCTCTATCAAGTTTTTCAGCAACCGCACCTCGAAACCAAGTGTAACAAAAGCCATTAGTGCGAACCTCCTATAGCTCATGATCAAAAAGCAAGTCGCCGAAGTCACCACTCACGTTAAAGGATTGAGAAGAACCACCTCTCTTCTTAGAAGGCCTTAACAAACAATTCCAATCTCCACTGAGTAACCACGGTCCCGAAATCGACGACGCAATATTGTTAAGTGCCCCCCCATAGATTCCGCCTAAGTTGCGGGTTTGGACTAGCATACACAAAGGTGGACAAAAAACAGGCATCCTCCATTTGGATCAAGGTGTGGACAAATTGTCGGTCACACCGGAGAATGGTTACATTCACCCGCTCTCGCCATAACAGCCAAATACCGCCGAAGAATCCTCTCGACTCCACACAGAACGACCGGTGAAACCCGCTTCGTTTCACGAAGCTATCAGCATCGCCACCACTGATCGTGGTTCAAAGACGACAACTAAATCTGGTGTATATTCATAAATAAGGTTAGAGAAAGCTTGGCGAAAAGCAGCCGAGCCTGCTCGTTGTACATTCCAAGTGACTATCTTCATTAATTAACGACATGAGTGAGAAAGTGACACCCGTCAGATACTACTCGGAACACTCGTGTCCTGAGTGGAATCCTCTTCCATAATCGCATCCTTGCTTCCGCTAGCTTCCTCTTCGACTCCTTCGTCACACATGTCTTCCGGCAGAGAGTCAGAAGTTCATAATGGCGCTGAGTCGACAGCCATAGCTGCAGTATTAGGTATGTCAACCCCAATCGGGCCGGAGGAATTCCGATTGTTTTTTTTACGTGGGCTTTCGACAATATGGGATACCTGATGCTTCATAGGGTCTAGGCCACTACCAGCAGAAATGAACAACACTTGGGCCTGAGCCCTCCTCTCCTTGTAATGTGAAGAAACCATTCCGGCCACACCGTGTCCCCTGTTTGAAACCTCAGAAACAGTCCTGGGCTCACTGACAGCCCCACTACTGGCTGGAGTCTTAGAGGTAGAAGCATGGCGAGCAGGTGCTCCGATATTTTCCTTTCCCTTATCCTTCTTCCTCCTCCCTACTACCCGCCATGCATCTGTACCATTTGGTTTAGCGGTATTTTGTTCCAAAGGCGATTTATCATACTTATTCCCCGCCATAGAGAAAGAAAAGGAATTGCTAGGAAGGGATTTGTCCTGGGCAGTACCCTTATCCCCATTGTCCTCCGACAGCAGACTAAAACGTTATCCGCTGAAGTATCCACTTTTACTTGGTTAGATTCCCGCCTATTGCCCCACTGTCTTGAGGCCCCTTTGTTCTTGGTCAGTAGCCATGGTCCATAAAGTCTGTCTCCTTGATCATTCACCGCCTTTTCGTCACTCTCCGCAGAACCCGAGGTCTGACCTCCCAGCGGTGGATGGGTACCGTTAGGAGCTTCCTCCGTCGTTGTATCAGTGGCGGTCTCCTTATGACGTTCAGGACATGCTGGCGAGCCATGCTCATACTTCCCACATTCAAAGCAAATGTCCAGTAAATTTTGATACTCTACGCATGTGGTTTTCCTCTGATGGTAAAGTGAGCGCATACTGGTTTTGTTAGATCGAGAACTACTGCCAACCTAGCGAACTTTCTCCTACATTGTGATGCGGTTTGCTGGCCAATATTTACCACTTTTCCCACTAAGTTCCCAATGACCCGAAACACTTTTTTGTGATACAGGTGAACCGGCATGTCAGGCAAACGTATCCATGTGACTAGAGAACGAATTTGACTGCACGTCTTGTCAAAGTCGTCACTCCAAGGTTGCACGTGCACATAGATTTTCTTGAATTGCTTGGAGATACAACACCTTGACCGCCTCCTCTTGCGTGTTAAACCGAATCTGAAAGTATCCATTTTCCAAATCAATCATGTTTTAGCCCGACATAAATGGCCACAATCCGACCAATTTATTATAGAGAAGGTGAGGACTGTTTGTTGTTCCCATGACCTTGATGATAACCACATTTTTCCAAGTCAGGAGTAGAGAATCATAGAATGAATCCTTCATCTTGATATCCGGTTCGTCGGTGTTATAGTCAATAGTAACATCCTCATCAAGGTCCGCATCGTCATCATCAGCAAAGTTCATCTCAACATGGGCCCAGTTTTTACTCAACATATCCCGAAAGCTGAAACGAGGGACGGGCACCGGTGGCCTTTGAGTCTCAAAGTTAACTCCATCAGACGGCTCGTTAGAGAGCTCACGAGTACGATTCGTTTTAGAGATCGAGTAGAATCAGACGACGGGGGGTTGGCTATGTGCCGAGCAGGGAATCCCGGCGGGCCACGATCGGGCGTGTCGAGTTTGGGATCAGTCTGATGGGTAACGGTATTCGAGGTCGCGAGGGGGGTTTCTTTGGTGGTAGCCATTAATTTAATTGTTATAATTTCTGTAGTGTCAACTATCTCAATTAATTGGAATTATTAACAGTTGAGGTCCCACACGGAATATTGCTAATTCCCATTTCAAGAGCGTTCTTCCAAAAAATATAAAAAAAAAATATAGAAGATTTGGCTAATCTGACCATTTGACGTGACGCAGCTCCATACAAATCAAAGTAGATTTTAGCACAAAGAAGCATGCATATTATTATTAGTTGATGATAAACAGGCATATTTTTTTCCCCAAACTATTGAGTATTGACTTCACTGTTAAGACTTAACTGTTCAATTAAAGCCATTAATTATATATTTGTCTATATGCAAATAGCACTTGCTCGATTCAATTGTGACTAAAAAGGATCAAGCTCGAATTATTTTACAGAGGAGAGAGAGGCGTCTGGTACCCTTGACTGTGCTGTATGATGGGAGATGAGAAACCTCTGGGCGTAATGGGCAGCAACAGCCGGGAAAGAGATCGCGAGCTTCTAATTCCGGTAGCCGACGCCGTTGACCACCGCCGCCATGATGAGGTTGGCTCATCCGTCTCCCTCGCCTCCGCTTCCTCCTCTCATCATCCCGGCCGAGAGGTACTGCTTTGTTCACCACTAACTTTGGTTTCCTTATTCGGATTTTGCTTCCTCATTTTACTTTTAGGGGTTTTCAGTAGGTAACTGTACCGGCCTTTGATTTGGTTCGATATTTACGCTAGCTACCTTTGCAAGTCGATATCGATCTGTTGTTGTTCCCATTTTCATTTGGATTTAATTTTGAATATGCGTATCTAGCCGTCAAAGCTGCCATGTTCACCAATTTTTCTTCAAGGGTGCTTTAACTTCTGTACTAGCAAGATATCGCGTTTTGATTCCAACAGCTGCCACTGTTGGAATTGCTTAATATCGCGTTTTGATGAAATTGGAGCATTGAAGGAAACAAACATGTTCCACAAAATTTGATTATCTTGTCTTTGGAAGTCCATTGCTTTCTGTCTATTATCAGTCCAACAATAGTTGCACTTCTGAATTCTTAATTGTAATTCCAGATTTTACTATTATAACAATGGGACCTCACTACAGTGCAATGCTAACTAGCATTCTGTACTTTATTTTTTGAATAACAAGAGAATTGCATAGCAGTTCTATGATGTTGTTTTTGCGGCTGGTGTATCTATGAATACTCCATAAGTAGAGTAGAAAGGTGCCAGTTCAATTATAAAAAGATATATAACTTTCTTGAACTTCTGTTGCATTCTTGAGCTGGTAGTGAACAACTGTAATCGAACAAAGATTTTAGTCATAAATTATCATTGTTTTGAGTGTGGCGTGTGTCTGTCATTTCTTTCATTTTACTACGGACCTGGCCTGTTGTTTCTTTGTTGCGTGTTGTTGTTCTCTACGAAATAAGAAACTATATTTGTTCATCTTTGGTAATGCTGCAGACAGCTTACAAAGTACTGCGTAGCTGGGCTTCAAAGAAATTCATGACTGGATGGTGAGCACAATACTTATGTTATACGATCTCTGTTTTCAGGGCATGAAATGTGAGAATATGCATTTTGTAGATTCTCAAAATTTGCCTGCCTGTTTTATAGAATTTTCTTTTACCTTAAAACTGCTGAATTAGGTATAAATGCAACATAGTTGGACCCACATATAACAGTTTTTAAATTCTTAAATCATTATTTCATTAATGCTTCGTGGAATAATAATTTATTAGTAGAATGAAGCAGAGATGAGGGTAAAAAACAGTTTCATTTGTTTGATTTAATCTACATTAGTTGTCAGACAAACTGAGTGATCCTGCTGCATCTTGGATACAAGGCTCAAAAATCACCAATGCCGTGTTTGGTGTTATATCTGGGGATCAAATTCCTTCCTCCAAAAGGAAGATATGTCCGAGATTGCTTTATAGAAATTCCATCTCCAAGGTCAAAATAATATCGTCATTCGTTTATAATTAAATATCTCTGACACAGAACCATATCGACAATATTATGCTTATAACTTCAACAATGTTTAATTGAAAATATCTCCGCCAACAAATTCCAATATTTTTTCATTTACATATTTATATTGTCTTTACATTGCAAACTCCAGGTAATGCTAATACATATCTTAAAGTTGCCAAAAATTTTCAAGTTTAAAATAGATTTGAATTTTTGTCCAGAGTTCTTTCCTATTGTAAGTTCACACATTAGGTTTTCCTTCTGGTGATCGAGTTGTTTCAATTAGTCTTGGGGGTTATGGTAAAAGACAAGCAATGTTTTTCCAAAACCTTTTATTGAGGTTCCTTAATTGTTTCTAAACAAACTTTACTGTTAGTGATTTAGTTCTCTTTATATAAGGTGAAGATGTACGAGAATTCTGGATCTTATGCTAGGTATTTTGGTTGTTCCTATAAATGATTATTGGAAGAATGTTATGTATTTTTTTATATTTGCTGAACCCCACACTTGGTTGAGATGATGAGTCTCATGATTTCTTTCCATCCTTATTTGTTTCCATCTTTTATTCGTTGATTAATTTGAGTTCTTAGATCATAGTCACTGCTAGAACTCTGCAAGCACTTTTTCTCGTATTCTTCGAGTTGTACTTCTTACAACTTACAAAGAGAAGATCCTTAGGTTGCATTTGGACTGTGAAGGGTTTGGATTTGAGATGGATTTTGTATAAAATATTAAAATTTCAAATGGCTTCAAATGAGATGTACTTAAAACCCACTATAGCTACACAAGTAATGAGTCGGAATAGGGCTCTATGCGGGTTCGAAACGCTGTCTAGAATTATCTTATCTGCACAACCTTAAAAAAGGTGCTATTATGACTTTTTGCTCTAAATCGAATTGGAGCCATGAGGTTGCGATTGGATATAAATCTAATCCTGATTTAACCAATCAAATCCACTCCAACTCTACCAAACAATTTTAAATTCAAATTTTTAACTCAAAATCTAACTCAAGTTTAATTCAATTTAATTCTCGTCAACTTTATCAATATAATTAAATAATATTAATCAATCATCTTCAACATCACATCAACAAAATTCACTATTCATCCACTCACATATTTTTAAATAATAATCAGCTCCAATCAACTCTCTCATACTTTTACATTACATAAACCTTACTCATTACATTTTAACTCACCTCCAAACACAAATCATTATCCAATCCAAAACTCCACTAAACCACCCTTTTTTCAACCACTTTATTCAATAAATCCAAATCACATCCAAAAAATTTGTCCAATCGCACCCTACAGTTTTCTGCAATTATTGGATTACCCTAAACGTCCTTTGCTTGATCAAAACTTTTCTGAAATTAATATGGGTTTAATTGAATGGTTTTGGTAAAGAGTTATGTCTTTGTCAATGTTACATCAAATTAAGCATCTGGTTGACCTGAGTTTCTAGGACGAGTTCTTTGCCCCACATATACTGGGACTTATGAATGTTCCAATCTTTGGATAAGGCATGTTCTTATCTATAAATAATACCACTTTCCCATTTCTTTATGAATGTTCCAATCTTTGGATAAGGCATGTTCTTATCTATAAATAATACCACTTTCCCATTTCTCTAACATTCAGAAACAAGGAATGATTCATCATAGATAGAAACTGACTTCACTAATAACTTCGTAATCTTGTTGCAAGATATTGAAGGGCACATGCAAATACATGTGCGTGTGTGCATTCATGTGCTTATTATATACGTAAATGCATTATAAGTGTTCAACCAATCTATATCATTGTTGCTTGGGATAATATCTTAAAATGCCACAATAGAAATGTGGGCAGATCAGCAGTTCGTTTTGTTACATGTGCACCACAATTCGTAAAGAGTCAATAGTTAAATGGGGTTGTGAATGTATTCATATTCAGACGGATAGCCCTTTTCTCGAAGAGTTGGGCATCTTATTAATTTCTAAAACAATGTTTGAATGGTTAGTTTGAGGATTGCTGAGGTCCTTTGTGAGCCTTCGATGCACCTGGACAATTTGTTATCTTCTTCCTTTCTATTTTTCTATTTTTTGCCCTTTCTTTTGTTCTTATTCTTTTGTTGCTCATACTGTTATGTATGTTGCTTGCTCTGTCATTTTTGCAGTGTCATCCTCCTTCCAATAGCTATTACATTCTATATAACATGGTGGTTCATTCATTTCGTTGATGGATTCTTCTCTCCGATTTATGTTCAACTAGGAATTGACATATTTGGTAAGCAGGTTATTCTTTCACTTGATAATCAAATGTGTGAGTGCACCAGTGGTTGATTTCTGTTTTGTCTATACATAATTATTAGTCCTGTTGAGAGGGAATACCTTATTTAACATACCTA